TAGGTCCATGGAACTTGTTCGACTTTAATATAAGGACCTGCAGCTCTTCAAGATTTCCGAGCCAAGCTGGAAACGTGTCATTTATAGCGTTGCTCCCCACATCAAGGACTTCTAGACCATTACACTTGAGCAACGACACAGGGACAGGTCCTTCAAATCGATTACCATTTACGACAATGGTACTCAATGAAGTGCTCTGTGCACATAATGGAGGAAGACTCCCTGTGAAGTTGTTCTTTCTTTAAGTCCAACACCGTTAGATTAGCCATGTTTCCCAAGCAACTTGGAATCGAGTTACTGAAGCTGTTGCGTGATAAATCTAATAAGATAAGTGAACTCATGTTACAAATGGATGAAGGTAGTGGACCCTGAAGGGAGTTAAATTTCAGATCAAGATACTGTAGGTTATAGTAATGAAACTGTGGTAGGTGGCCTGTTAATGAATTATGAGAAAGGTTTAGGAACTGCAACGAGTCCCACCTCATGCCGCTAAACCAGTTAGGGATTTGACCACAAATCTTATTATTAGAAATATCCAAGACCTGAAGTGTCTTTACATTTGTCAAGAAGTGTGGAAAATCCTTCAGTTCACAAGATGATAACTGCAAAACTTCTAGACTAGGAAAGGTGATATTTATTCCCTCAGCAATGGTGATGTTATTTGATGAAAGGTCAAGGTATACAATTTTTGTGAGATTCACAAGTGATTGAGGAAAAGAACCAATGAGTTGATTATGATGGAGCCACAACAAAGATAGCAAAGGGAGGTTCCAAGATGGTATGGTACCATTCAGCGAGTTGTAAGACAAATCCACAGAAATTAGTTTTTGAAGCATGCTTGCATTGCTAGGCAGTGGGCCAGATAGGCAATTACTCTACAAGTCTAAGCTTTCAAGATGTGTCAAACTTAAAATTGAAGCGGGAAATGGACCGGTGATGTTATTTGATGAAAGGTCAAGGGTTTCAAGGTTTGTGAGATTCACAAGTGATTGAGGAAAAGAACCACTGAGTTGATTATTGCTTAAATCCGCTTCTATTAATGCTGGATTTGTTTTGAGCTCATCGGGTAGTCCACTAAATTGATTTCGACTGAGCGACAATAAAGATCTTAGCAAATGGAGGCTAAACAACCAAGATGGTATGGTACCATTCAGTAAGTTGTCATACAAATCCAGTTGGGTTAGCTTTTGAAGATTGCTCGCATTATGAGGAAGTGGGCCACATAGGGAATTACTAGACAAATCTAACTGTTGAAGATGTGTCAAGTTTGACATTGAAGAGGGAAACAAACCGATGAAGCTGTTTTTAAAAAGATCTAAAAAGCGTAGTTCTTGGAGGTTGGAGAAAACCTAGGGAATTTCACCTGAAAAGGAGTTGACAGAAAGATGTAAATTTGTGAGGTGCTTCAATTTAGAGATTGTGGAAGGAATATGGCCAGTGAAATGATTATAAGATAAAATCAACTCTGTAATTTGTGTTAGGTTGCCAATGGATTCGGGAATGGAACCAGAGAATTGACATTTTTCGAGGTTTAAGATATTCTTTTCTTTTTTTTTTTAATTTAAGCCATCACCATCACAGCTTAAAGCTATTAGGTGTGGGGGTTTGGCTTGACCCCTACCATGTCTATAATTTCCAACATAAGTTACACAAAAACAGAGGGGGGCATGTACCTAACCTCTGGCAAAAATAGAAAGTGGAAATTAGGACATCAAAAAAAGGAAGGCAACAAACTTATAACCTTCCACTCAAGCAAAATACAAGATTCAACTAACAAAAATATTACATTTGTCATATCTTCTTCTTATACAAGGTAGTTGCCATCTATCCAGTTGAAAGAGTCCCTTCGTTTCTTTCGAGAGCTGTTGATAAGAGAAGTAGAAGGTACCATTTCCACTCGATGAAGCTAATTTGTCTAGGAAGTCTGCCACCTGATTGGCTTCTCTATAGCAATGTGAGATGCTCACTTCTGCCCCTTCCATAGCGTTGACAATTCGTTTGATAATGTTTTTCAGCTTCAGATTGTTGGTGCCTTTTTCTTCGAGCATATTTGTAATCACCATTGAGTCCAACTCCAGATCGTATTTGTCGTCACCATTGAGTTCAAGATATTCAAAGAACTAAAGGTTCCAATTGAATGAGGCAGCTCACCAGAGATGCCTGTGAATGAAATATCCAACTCCATTAACAGAGTGTAGCTCCGGTGGATCTTTGGAAAAACTCCTTTGAGAAGATCATTCCCTCTCAATTTGAGTCTTTCCAAGTTTGGCAGAAGGAAAAAGTTCTCTGTGAGAACACCTCGCAGATTAGTATCTGTAAGATCCACGTACCTTAAGGAGGAAGAAATGTTCACAGGTATCGGAGATGAGATGTTGACATAAGAGAGAGAAAGTAGCTCCAGATTTGTCAAGTTCTGAAGCATTGTTGCAAATGTTCTCTCATCAAGTTGTAATCCAATCACAGAAAGATCAAGTGAAACCAAATTGTTAAGGTATGAGATTTCCGTTGGGATTTTCCCTAGAAAGTAAGCATCAGAAAGGGTGAGATGCCTCAAATTCGTCAATCGGCCAATGTTATGTGGGATTGAAGAATAATCGAAGTAATTGTAAGCAAGGTTTAGTGTGTGGAGATGATGAAGTTGGAAGAGGCTGCTATTGGGATGAAAATTGCCAACAAGCTGACTGCAACTAAGGTCCAGACCGATAACATGACCGTTTAACTTGTGACAAGTGACTCCATCCCAAGTGCAGCAATCGCTACTCTCATTCCAAGACTTTGTTTTTAGGAAAGAAGCTCTATCACACGAGGAGTAGCCAGATTCAACTTTAAAGGATTGTTTGAACTGAAGCAAATCAGAAGCTTCAGTGGGAGGGCAAATATGATACTCGAAGGAAGAAGAAAAAGAGACGTCCCATCTTTCCTCTTTGTATTCAGCAAAAAAAAGGATGGATGTTTTCTTCTTACAAATCAATCATCAGTATTCATATATATATATTAATGTTGAAGATTGCACCATGTATAACACATGCTGCAGAGCGTGTGTGTTCATAAACAAGATGTCAAACAAATTTCCGACATAGTGATAGATTTACACGTATATTGTGCCGTTTTCCATCTGATTCTCCATTAGTTTTTTCAAATGATAGAGAAGAAGAATTCATTCATTGATCGTGAGATAAAGTAGAAATGCGAACCTGAGACAAATATCTCCTACTGTCCTACATATACAAACAACCATACTATCTGAAAGACAGAACCATGTGCAACACATAACAAAAAATGATACTATTTTACAGTTGTTCACAACAACTAACTGATTCAAACAACAGCAACATACTCGCTCCGTGTAATCCCACAAGTGGAGTCTGGGGAGGAGGGTCGTGTGTACGCAAACCTTACCATAACTTGTAGAGGTAGAGAAGAGAAGTTGTTCTCCATTAAAAATTTACAAATTTTGCATAAGCATTACACTTAGGTACAACATGGTAACACTACAAGTACCATTTATAACTTATCAGCTATTATCAAGTGATAGTGAACTTTACACTGTCAGTATATATAAATTAAGGAAGTAAAGGAAAGCGAGTAAAATATATTAGAGCACCTAGCTTGAATGTCATTTGGAAAGATAATTTTCAAATCCTTAACCCGGTATTCTATACCTACTTCGGAGCCCCAACTAATACATGCCCCCGCGGCATAAGTCCCATTAAAGAGAAGAGAAACCCAGCCCATTTTTGAGGCCCATGAAAATTTCTCTACATTATACCATATTCCATAAAGGAGAGATTTTATTTTTATTTTTTTACCATAGCTTATCTATGAAACTTAAGTTTACAAGTTATTACATTGAATTTAAGAGATACAAAAAAAAAGTCTCTAGTTGTTGGCAGTTGTACCCACCATGCTAGAAAGTGCTGCTTAATTGCCTAGCTGATTATTCCTTATCTTATTAGTAGATGAAAATGATTCAAACTCGAAATATCTGATTAATGGTGAAGTCGTGGAGGGATCGCATTATTTTTTTTCTTACCTTGAGAAAGAGGTGTAGCTCGGATTCGGCAGTGTTCAGTAACTTCAGTTTAAATCATATATTAATATTTAAAATTTTGAAATAATTTATCAAGAACTTATCAAGGTGCGGTTTTTAAAATCCAAATTCCATACACTCCAAATCCTAGCTCTATCTCACCTTACAGAGGTGGAGCTAAAATTTAATGTCTATAAATTCTGAATTTATAGCTAAACTCTCACAACTCATTTTAATTACCAAATTTATAATTATATATTTATATATATTTAATTAATTTTCTAAATATAAATATAAAGTCTAAGCGAAAGTTATTAGATTTGAATCGAAAAAATAAAATAAGATAAAATTACAAAAGGACGACAGAATCACGAGAAAGAAATTAAAAGGAGTCATAAAAGGACTCACAAGAATACAAGTTATTGATGACCTACCAACTGCCAACAAGGGTACTGGCTAGCTATAATTGAGAGAAATGGAATCGGAATTTAAAGTTATAAATTTAAAATTTTCATCGAATTTATAACTTATTTTAGTTGTTGGATTCAAAATTAAGAATTTATATATGTGTTAAGAAAAATTTAATATAAATACAAGATCTAAGCAAAAACTATTAAATTCATTTGATTATAAGAGCGGAACTAAGTTACCGATTCAACCAAATTCAATAAATTTTAATTTTAATTTTAAAAAGCATTGAATGTATACGAATTATTAATTTAAAAACTCAACAAACACGATTAGAAAAATCCTAAATATATAATCATAAACTTTGAATTTTAATTGCACCTCTTCAGTACCCGTACCTAATATTATAGCTTCATCTCTATAAATACCCTTTCTTTCCTAACTTTCTACTATACCCTAAAACTTGGACAAACACATAAAAAAAATCCACAAAAACACAAATCAAACTCCAAAAATTAGCAAAAAAATCATCAAGAAAGAAAAAAAAAATCACTCCTTTTTTTTCTTTTTTTCTTTCTATGATTTAATTTCATATTAATTCAGATCAAGAAAGAGATTATCGGAATCGAAGATGAAGAATACGAAGAATATTGAAAGAAACAAAAGGGAAAAATACCCTTTAATTTCTTATCAAGAATTACCAGAATATATGAAGGATAATGAGTTTATTTTGAATTATTACAGAGCTAATTGGCCTCTTAAACAAGCATTTTTCAGTATTTTCAGTTGGCATAATGAAACTCTTAATGTTTGGACGTAAGTATCTAATTTCATTTTTATTTTATTTCGAGTTTTGTAAATTTGCTAAGAAATTCATCGCTGAATAACTTGTACTCAACAACAAAAATTAATAATTCATTGTTAAATAGAATTAATGATGAATTTTGTTGTTTAGTTACAAAATTTGATAGATAATTCATCTTAATTTAGATTATTTTTTTTTTGAATAGTTGAAATAATTACTTTGTTTGCAATTTATTTAGCTAAATTTTTTAATTTATTTTTCTAAATGAGAGATTACTTGCTTGTGTTTTTTCAGGCATTTAATTGGATTTATTCTATTTGTGGTATTAACCATAGCTAATGCAGAGCATTTATCTCAAATTGCTGATTTTATGACTATGTTTATCAGGTATGTGTCTAATCAATTTAGCGTTTTTTCGTTAGAAAATTATATTGTATAAATATGTTACTTTAGAAAATTATATTATATATATATATATATATATGTTATGCTAGAAAATAATACTCCATATAAATCTTGAACCTTTGTTTCTTTATTGAGTTGTCTTTGATAAAGAGCATTTTATCGACATAGAATGATTAGTTGAGTCCTAAAACGATAACTAAAAGTCTCAGATTCAAGTCCTGAAAATTGAGTTATATTTGATAAGAAACGTTTTACATACCCCATTCCATAAAGAGACTGTATGCATCTTCATGAATTTGAATTAGTCGATTCTCAAACGAAAATAAAATTTCTTGAGTTTGGACTTTGGACTTTAGGGATTTAAATTTTCTTTTGATGTGGCAAACTTTAATAAGTATACAATTAAAATTTTGTTAAAACCAATGCAATAGAGACATACAGATGTGGTCCATTAATATTTGATGTATATTGAAATGTTAGGTTAAAAAAGACACTTCATCAAACTCCCAACTACCATCTTTATATGTTTGCACATTTATTTCTGTTGATATTTTCTTGGTGATATATTTTTCGGTGTACAAAACGTCTCATGTTAATAGGGTTTAAAGAAGGGTCACACTATCCTATGATGCAAGGTTTAGTGATTGCTCTGATCACTGCTTGAAAATTCGTAACCTATTAGATCACACACGTATTATTTTTCTAAAACATCAAATAATCAATTAACTAAAATTAATGTATCAATTTTCATATAAAACTAGAATTTAAATTAATCGTTATTTATCATTTTCTAAGAAATAAATTTTGTGTTTTCAATTTTTTTTTCTTACAGGAATTTTCCAACAAGTGGAGATGCGAATATCCCTCACAATTCTAAGGTACTTTTAAGTATTGTTAGTAGTAAGTTAATGAACTTATAAGTTATTTAACTTCTATATACCGATGCAATTCAGTGGTTTAAAAGATAATTACAGGTCAATATCCTCGAATTAGTTACTTAAAATAAAGTAAGTAAGAAGTAACTTGTTATAACATGTGAAAATATACCATCATTGCAAAAAATTAAGTCTCTATACCAATAATGTATATATGTTGAATAATCCACCTCCAAAAAAGGTTTAAGTTCTATAAACTGGTAATAGATAGATTCGTTATAGTCAGATTAAATTCACCTACAATATCATATAATTAACTTTTCATAGTGATCGAGTTAGATATGCTAAAAAGAAAAATAAAATAAAATAGAGTAATGATATGCTTGTCACTACAAAAAGAACTGGTATTAGCTACAAACTTTGTTGGTAATACTAACAGAACTTGTCCTTCGCTAATTCCAGTTTTTTAGTAGTAATATGTATTGACAGAGGCGAATCTAGAATTTTTCGAACATAGGTGCACCAAGTAAAATGTATTAAAGTGAGAATTGATCCTTAATCCTCAAGGTCAAAAGCTCAACATTTAACCATGTGGACCATTTAGACTTCTTGTAGTACGGGTGCAAGAATATAATATTATACAAAATCTTAAAAAATTTACATATAAAATATCTAATTTTACGAAGAGACCACGGGTGCGGGTGCCCTATTTTTTGGCTGTAAATTTGCCACTGAATTCAATAGTCGGTAGCTAACATGATTATTTGATAAGTCGTAGTAAATCCATCGTTAAATAGTACATGCAACAAATTTTTAATCGTCAAATGACACAAGTTGTCCATTGCTAGTTTTTTTTTTTGTTAATGATAAAAAAAAATTACATTATCAGTGTATATCGCGACTTTGTCTTACAGGGAGAAACTAGGTTAATTGATCAACATTTACAAATGGACATTACATCAACAAATGAAGCAACATGGCCATTTTATGTATTCTTAATTGGTGCAATGTTTTGCCTTTTATCAAGCAGCATTTGCCATCTTTTTTCATGTCATTCACAAAAATTGAACCTTTTCTTAGTCCAAATGGACTATGTTGGCATCACAATTATGATCATCACATCCTTTTTTCCACCAATGTACTATATTTTTCAATGTTCACCACTTTGGCAAATTGTATATCTCACTGGTATCACAATCTTGGGAATTTGCACTATCATAACTCTCCTCTTCCCCGTGTTTTCGACCGGGAAATATAGGTCTTTTCGGGCCGGGCTCTTCATGTCCATGGGTTGTTTTGGTCTATTTCCAGCAATCCATGCTCTTGTGGTGAATTGGAGTGATCCTATGAGGAATATCACACTTGCATATGAATCCGCGATGGCGTTGTGTTATATAATAGGGGCTATTTTTTATGTTAGTCGCGTACCGGAGAAATGGAGGCCTGGATTGTTTGATCTAGTTGGTCATAGTCATCAAATATTTCATACATTTGTTATTTTTGGTGCATTGGCACACTATGGTGCGGCAAGGATTTTCGTGGAATATAGGACTCGATTCGGATGTCATAATAGATAGAAGAGGACTAATGATGTATTTTGATATATGATGTGTTATGTTTGATACATGTAGGACCAATAATTTGTTATGTATGAAGAGTTACGTATAGTCAGAGATTACTTTGGGCTCGAACTATGCATTCATGTGCCAAAAAGCTAAACATATACATATCATAAGATTTGAGTGGAACTTAACTTTCTTCAATTACTAGATAATGTTGCACGGGCCCAATAATATAAATAGTATATTTTGGGGCTAATAATCGAATTTTTGCAGCGATTATTTGCGTGGATAAAGGAATAAGTTTTTTTATCACAAACCTGTACTTTCTTTGACACTATTTAAGGCATAATAAGACTACCCACATACAACATTTTTGAAATATTTTATGTTGTCAATTATCATGATTTATAGTATTTTTACGATAGATTCACTTCAAGAATCAGTGGAATTTTTTGTATTTTTTTTTCAAAACATATTTTATGTTGTCAATTATCATGATTTATAGTATTTTTACGCAATTTTTAAATATAAAAAAAAAAGACAAATAAATTAAAATGGACCCAATATATGTTATTTTTGTTGTCTCAATTTATGTGACACAAATGAAATTTGGAGAGTCATTCAAATTTTCATATTTTTTTTTAAATGTTTGAAGTTATTAATTATTGTGATTTATAATATTTTTATGTAACTTTGAAATAATGTACATTACTGGTCACTTTGTCCTAATTTATGTGATATGGATAAAATTATAAAATTAACCCTTTTAAAATGTCTTTCAGATATTTTAAGTTGTTAATTATTATTATTTATAATACTTTTTTGGTAATATTAAAATGATATGTGTTATTTTTTCTGTCCCAATATATGTGAGCCTGATAGAATTTTGAGCGTCAACCTATTTTATTATATAGCTTTTAAATATTTTAAAGTTTTTTAAGTCATTTGTAAATGATATATGTTGCTTCCTTGAGTGGGACTTTTCCATTTGTGAGATATATATATATTCTATATTATTTTAAAAGGGAGTTTATGCCCAAGTTCTACTATATAATAAATATAATATACAATATTCAAGAAACTTCCTTTTAAAAGTCCCACAAGTATAATATATAATATTCAAGATTGGGAAAAGTCCCAATCTTGAATATTATATAGGACAAATTACTTAAGCACACAACATTACTTTACCTATTCTCAATATTTCCCTACTCTTTTACTAAAATACAAAAATCCCTTATTTTCCCCCAATTCAACTTAACCGGATACTTTATTAGTTTAAGTATCCGCCCGTTATTAATTAAAGTATCCGCGCTGCTATATTATGCATCCGCCCGTTAATTTAAGTATCCGTCCGTTATTAATTAAAGTATCTGTGCCAACAACTTAATAATTTAAGTATCCGCCCTTTATTAATTAAAGTATCTGCGCTGCTATATTATGTATCCGAAAGACACTAAAAAAGGGATTTTTGGTAATTAATGAAAGGGTAGGGATAGGGAGTAATTTCCTTCTTATACTATGTGATTTGCCTAATTTTTACTATTATATATTATATTTGGGCCTAAACTCTCTTTTATAATATAGTAGAATAGAATAGAATAGAATCTATGACTTATTTTGGGCTTTGAATTAGTGATACTTGGACTAAATTTGGGCCAAATAAAAGATATTTCAAGCCCATAATTAGGGATAACAAAGTCCAGCCCAAATATCATCCCTATAAAAGTAGCAGGCCCATTAATTTCTAATGATTTGCACAAACAGTTGTAATGCCATTGCTTTAAGTTTTGACCACATTTGAATAAGTTCACAAAAATAGCTGGTGGATTAAGACTTGACCGCGAGTCACTACGACAAAAGAAACATTTAATAGCAATAGATTTTTGTTTATTGTCGTAAAATTATTTAGCGGCAATTGAGTTAATATCACTGCATTCAGATTCGTTAAAGTTTTTATCGATATTTATAGAGAATGTTAATTATAAACACTCATATTATATTATCTATTGTTAAATATAATATAACAAAAATTATATTATTGCCTCTAAATAATGACCGGATTTTTTTTTATTTGTTGTAATGAATCCTAACGAATTCTAAACCATAAATTTCAGAATCTTTATTTTATTTGCTGAAACTTTATGTTGATTTAAACTATATCATCTAAGATTGTCGGTATACGTATATAAATTAAATTCTTAATTCATTGGTCATCCTGTTGGATCTAACAAAAGGTGATGTGACCTTATTATAAGAAGTAAAAGAGTGATTTATTATCAACTCAAGGTACAAAATTTCAACATCATAATTTTAATCTTTGCCTCAAATTGGAAACACTAATTAATTTGATACTCTTAGGATACTTATTATTATTATACCAAATATCACAATTAGAGTGAGTGAGCTGCCAATAATTATATATTTTTAAGCTTTGGCAAAATTTTCACATTATTATTTACGCGTTTTCTCAATTCATATAAGAGAAAATGACATAAATTAATTTATAGTAATAATTGTTTGAGTTTCATATTTGACCTTTCAGGTATAGAATAGTGAACAGATAATAAATGAAGCATAATTTAATAAATAATTAGTGATAGTTCAGATAGAAAATTCGTGCACCTGATAATTCCATTACGAAACTCAAAAAACTAAAATATTTTAAATGTATTTTTGACCATTAACTCAAAAGAGAAAAATTGAAGTTAAGAAAACTAGCTCACATCTTATTTAAGTAGCGATGAATAATATGAATATTTATACTATCCAGGAGATAACTCATTTTTATCCGTATTAAATATGCGTAAATCGGATATTTTATCCGATTTTACTTTAACCATTTTTATCCAACCCGCCCATTTATCGCCCTTATTAATAGGGTATGATTTTTTTCAATCTTCATCACTCAAAACATAGTGAAGAAGTTAGCAATGTGTGCTTATTCCCATAGCATAACATCATTATGTGCCATTTTTTCATTTCTTATTATCTTCTTCTACTTCTCATCATTATTAAATCATCAAAATGATATTAATTTCATCACTTTTTTCTCTTTCTCAAAAAAACCTCACTTGAGCAAAAATAAATTCTTATTACATGATAATAATCAACAAGTATCCTCTATTGAAGAAAATCATACCACTCACCATGCTAAGGTATTATTTTATTTTGAATAATTGTTCTTGATATGTTTTGTTGATATATGATAATATAGTTTAATTTACTATTTTATGAATATCGAATTGTATTGCCTAACTTCATTTTAAAATGACACTAGAATTTTTATAGAATCAAAAGAGAAAAATATTTTTTGAATTTGACCATTTCTTAAATTCTCCATTTTTATTCTAAAATGAATAATTACCATGCAAACTTTTTTCTTTGTTACTTTAATTTATGTTTAATTCTTTAAATTCGATAATATATTAATTCACATAGTAAATTGAATAATGGAGAAGAAAAACTTATGACATAATAGCTTGAGAAATATATTACTAGAATTAATGGCAGACAACTTCATTTGCTAATCAACAAAATATATCGCTAATTCTACTCAGTGACGAATTATTATCTGATTATCAAAACCTCATCATGTTAGATGTGTGCTATTAATTTAGCGACAGATTCGGGACGAATTTTATATAGCTAATTTCTATTATTTGTAGTGTATCAACCATGTCCAACATTTTTATTTCTTTTTTCAAAATCTTATTTTTTAATTAATTGTATTTAACAGATCAAGAGCAGTTTACAAAAAATTGAAGAAGATTTAGCAAGAGCAAGATCAGCAATTTGGAAAGCTATTCATTCAAGAAATTATAACTCTGATAAAGAAGAGAAATTCATTCCAAATGGATCTGTTTACAAAAATTCATATGCCTTTCATCAGTTAAGTTTCGGTTTCATTCTGTATGAGAGTTTAACTTTTATACATCGATTTATATAAGTCATTTCTTTTTAACGTTATCAAATTATCTAAAATATAATTTTAAGTAATCGTCCATATAAAAAGTAAAATTAGTAACCTGAAAAATTAGACAATCAACTAATGTCTTACTAGAATACTATACTTTTTTCTTCATTTCGGGAAAAATATGCACATATTCATCATGACTACATATAATTATAATAATCCCTGCATAACTTATCTATGAATTAAACAACCCTTGCATTATTAATTCATGTGTTACGATATACTTCATGTCTTCGCATAGTTTTGTATCATAAGCTATACATAACGAACTTCATTATCAAGAAGTGTATCCACAACTTCTTGAACTAATTTCTTCTTACACATTACTAATTTTCCTAGCATAGATCTACTTATTGTTAATAGATCAATAAGGATATTGTTCTGATATGTACACGGAATAATACTTGTATACATTAATCACAATACATTTTTGTGCTTCATTTCACTACAAAACAATAAAAAATAGCTACAAATCTCGTCATTAATCAGTCACTATAAGCTCTTAGCTAATAGGATTTTTTAATAATCTATCGCTACTATGTCGATAAGTACAATTAGATGACATATTTTGTTGTTTAACTACAAAATTAGTCTGTTGCTAATTATTTTTTTATTTTTTTTAAGTAGTGGTTATTTATAAATAAATCTTGCATTAATTTATTGTAGGAGTCATATAGAGATGTTGAAGAGATTCAAGGTGTGGACATACAAAGAAGGAGATTTACCAATGATACACAATGGACCAATGAAAAATATATATGCAATTGAAGGTCATTTCATTGGTGAAATGGAAAGTAAAAATAGACATTTTTTAGCTTCACATCCTGATGAAGCTCATGTCTTTTTTATACCAATTAGTGTTGCATATATTGTTCAATATATTTACTTGCCAATTATCACAAATTATTCTAGAGAAAGAATTCAAAGGATTGTTGAAGATTATATTCATGTTATTGCTAACAAATATCCTTATTGGAACAGAAGCAATGGTGCTGATCATTTCTTGGTTTCTTGTCATGATTGGGTAATTTCTTTAAATTTTTCCTCTACTTCTACTATA